TTACAAAATAGACCTAAGAAAAGATTCAAACAATTGCGGGTGAATAAACAGCACTCAGTTAACCGCACAAGAAATACCATGCATGGATCCGCTACCTCAACAATGAAGAACCGATGTGACAATACAGCCACCCATGAAGCTAGGAGAGCTCCAAGAGAGGTTGAGAGAAAGTTTTGCTCAAGAAGCCGGAACAGCAAAGGGAAAAAACTAGAGTGGAGAGTGGCGGATCGAGAACAAACAGAGGAAACTTACCAGCAGCGACAGGGAGAAGGTAGAGTTACTGAACAACCACGACTTTAACAACTTTACACAGGTGATGTTCCGATCTTGACTCCTCTATACATCCCTCTAGAGACCCCGGAGGTCGCGAAAGAGATGGTCAAGATCAAAACTTAAGGATCCACCGTCACCAACCTGTTACTGTAGAAGCACCGATGTCTGGACATAGGCTTTTGAGTCATGGTATTCCAAATGATAAAATCTTTTTAGATTATGCAAAAGCAGACGACACAGTCCTCATGTCCGACTGCTGTTAAAGCCGATTCACTTGGGGTAAGAGGTAATGTACTGAATGTATTGAAGGATTCCTTCCACAACGACGACAGCGAGTACAGTAGTGGTGAATGGATGGAAACCTGTCACAAGTGGTGTTCCTCATGTCAGGAGCTATTCTCCCCACCAACCATGCCAGTTTTGTGTCAATATTACAGGTTATTACCTCGATATCTCTGCTGCTATTATGAATCGTGATCATAACCACACTTCCTGCCTTCAAGCCGACTAATGTACTACAACAGTCGTCAAATAAGACGCGCTTGCACCCGGGTAAGTAAATACAAAGGTGATGCACCACGGTAGTGGGTTAGGTGAGAAACACGAATACAGCTTGACAAGAACCGGCACATACCTGGCAGCAGAGACAACTCCTGAAAAAGACTTGAAGTCGTTATCGGCACAATAATGGTTGCCCCTTGTGTAACGAGGATGGTTGGCCCATGGGCCACCTATATAGGCGTGAATTTGTTTAAGGTGTAGAGGCTGTCGCCAACACAACAACCTACACCCTGTTAGCGAGCTGCATGACCCAGTGTCAAGGAGTAGTCCAAGAAGACTGACAATTCCTGCCAACTGTGACTGACAGCGCACCTGTAAGAGGTTTAACAGTGGGTTTTGGTCTCCAGAACCAAGCAGCTGACAATGACACACTGAACAGGTACAGAGGAGAGCCACTAGGTTGGTTTTGAAGCCTCCCATCTGTCATAGTGACAGGACTCACAGAACTGCCCAAATGTTCAGAAAGACAACGGGCATACATTACAGCCGTACAAAATTTACCTTAAGATAGACTATGATGTGTCCACCTACCGTTTATTAGGACTTGATAGATAGTTCTTGGCATAAACGGCCAAGAGTGCCAGTGAATATTAAAATTATCGACGTTACTCGGACCATCAACCACAAGAGGCCATGAATACAAATATCACGCCACCGGACCAACAACCACAAGAGGCCATGAATACAAGTATCACGCCACCGGACCATCAACCACAAGAGGCCATGAATACAAATATCACGCCACCGGACCATCAACCAACATCAAGAGTCACACAAGCCTGGAATAATCTCTCTTGAGTAATACATGACCTGTATCAGTACAGCTTCTCATATAGACAAATCCAGCACCACGAACACCACGCATATAAGAATAGAAGCAACTTACCCTTGGTACGGTTCATTACCCACACGGGTACCTACTGACTGTAAATACTTAAGGTTTCTCTGCCGGACTACAGCTTCAGTACATCCTCGTTCCTCAGGTGCACGCCGCTTCCCGGGAAGGTCTCAAGAAGCATAGCGAGTCTTGTGGAAAATGTGACCTTTTAGTGACTGTTTGAGAAGTACAACTCATGCATATAATGTCCAAGTAAATTATTTAGTATTGTCTAATTGAATTATAGACTTTCATAATTATTGAATGGTGAAGGTATTATGGACCATTTGTGTAAACAGTTGCCATGCAGGCCAGCACAGGTCACAAAATAAAGGAATATAACCCCAGAAGTCATTGTAATACCAAGTGAAAAAGACAGAGAACAATTCCTTCCGAAGGTAAAATATAGCCATTTTGCACCTTTTTCTTCCTGGATCAAGAACTTTGGTGATTATAAAATCTGGTCACCTTGCACCCGGCCGCCGCTGGTTCCAGTTCATAGGAGTGAGCCAAACTAAGATGATGCCTCTGTTGTTGTTGGTGAAGGCCGTGGGTGTGTTGGTCAGAGAGTGACAGTGTTGGTGAAGGCCGTGGGTGTGTTGGTCAGAGAGTGACAGTGTTGTGAAGGCCGTGGGTGTGTTAGTCGAAGAGTGTCAGTGTTGGTGAAGGCCGTGGGTGTGTTGGTCAGAGAGTGACAGTGTTGGTGAAGGCCGTGGGTGTGTTGGTCAGAGAGTGACAGTGTTGGTGAAGGCCGTGGGTGTGTTGATCAGAGAGTGACAGTGTTGGTGAAGGCCGTGGGTGTGTTGGTCAGAGAGTGACAGTGTTGGTGAAGGCCGTGGGTGTGTTGGTCAGAGAGTGACAGTGTTGGTGAAGGCCGTGGGTGTGTTGGTCAGAGAGTGACAGTGTTGGTGAAGGCCGTGGGTGTGTTGGTCAGAGAGTGACAGTGTTGGTGAAGGCCGTGGGTGTGTTGGTCAGAGAGTGACAGTGTTGGTGAAGGCCGTGGGTGTGTTGGTCAGAGGTGACAGTGTTGGTGCGAAGGCCGTGGGTGTGTTGGTCAGAGAGTGACAGTGTTGGTGAAGGCCGTGGGTGTGTTGGTCCAGAGGTGACAGTGTTGGTGAGGCCGTGGGTGTGTTGGTCAGAGGTGACAGTGATGTTGGTGAAGGCCGTGGGTGTGTTGGTCAGAGGTGCGGTGTTGGTGAAGGCCATTGATTGTGTTGGTCCCAGAGTGACAGTGTTGTATTGAAGGCCAGTGGAATATTGTTGGTCAGAGAGTGACAGTGTTGGTGAAGGCCATTGGGTGTGTTGATCAGAGAGTGACAGTGTTGAGTGAAGGCCGTGGGTGTATTGGTCCAGAAGGTGACAGTGTTGAGCAGAGGCCGTGGTGTGTTGGTCAGAGTGACGGTGTTGAGTGAAGAGGCCGTGGAATGTATTGATCAGAGGTGACGGTGTTGGTGAAGGCCGTGGGTGTGTTGGTCCAGAGTGACGGTGTTGGTGAAGGCCGTGGGTGTGTTGGTCAGAGGTGACAGTGTTGGTGAAGGCCGTGGGTGTGTTGGTCCATTGACGGTGTTGGTGAAGGCCGTGGGTGTGTTGGTCAGAGAGTGACAGTGTTGGTGAAGGCCGTGGGTGTGTTGGTCAGAGAGTGACAGTGTTGGTGAAGGCCATGGGTGTGTTGGTCAGAGAGTGACAGTGTTGGTGAAGGCCGTGGGTGTGTTGGTCAGAGAGTGACAGTGTTGGTGAAGGCCGGAAAGCTACCATCAGAGAATGACAGTGTTGGTGAAGGCCGTATAAGCTGGCCAGAGAGTGACAGGCAGGAAGGCCGGTGTGTTGGTCAGAGAGTGAGTGGGCAGTAAGGCTGCATGTGTTGGTCAGAGAGTGACAGTGTTGGTGAAGGCCGTGGGTGTGTTGGCCGGGGAGAGTGACAGTGTTGGTGAAGGCCGTGAGTGTGTTGGTCAGAGAGGACAGTGTTGGTGAAGGCCGTGGGTGTGCTGGTCGTGAGTGACAGTGCTGGTGAAGGCCGTGGGGTGTGTTGGTCAGAGAGTGACAGTGTTGGTGAAGGCCGTGGGTGTGCGTTGGTCAGAGAGTGACAGTGTTGGTGAAGGCCGTGGGTGTGCTGGTCAGAGAGCGACAGTGTTGGCAGCGCCGGGTGTGTTGGCCGGGAGAGTGACAGTGTTGGTGAAGGGCCGTGGGTGTGTTGGTCAGAGAGCGACAGTGTTGGTGAAGGCCGTGGGGTGTTGGTCAGAGAGTGACAGTGTTGGTGAAGGCCGTGGGTGTGTTGGTCAGAGAGTGACAGTGTTGGTGAAGGCCGTGGGTGTGTTGGTCAGAGAGTGACAGTGTTGGTGAAGGCCGTGGGTGTGTTGGTCAGAGAGTGACAGTGTTGGTGAAGGCCGTGGGTGTGTTGGTCAGAGAGCGACAGTGTTGGTGAAGGCCGTGAGTGTGTTGGTCAGAGAGTGACAGTGTTGGTGAAGGCCGTTGGTGTGTTGGTCAGAGAGTGACAGTGTTGGTGAAGGCCGTGGGTGTGTTAGTCAGAGAGTGACAGTGTTGGTGAAGGCCGTGGGTGTGTTGGTCAGAGTCAGGCAGTGTTGGTGAAGGCCGTGGGTGTGTTGGTCGAGGGGTGACAGTGTTGAGGCCGTGGGTGTGTTGGTAAGAGGTGACAGTGTTGGTGAAATGGTGTGTTGGTCAGAGGTGACAGTCGGTAATTGAGCCGTGGGTGTGTTGGTCAGAGGTGACAGTGCTGGTGAAGGCCGTGGGTGTGTTGGTCAGAGGTGACGGTGTTGGTGAAGGCCGTGGGTGTGTTGGTCAGAGTGACAGTGTTGGTGAAGGCCGTGGGTGTGTTGGTCAGAGAGTGACAGTGTTGGTGAAGGCCGTGGGTGGTCAGAGTGACAGTGTTAGTGAAGGCCGTTGGTGTGTTGGTCAGAGAGTGACGGTGTTGGTGAAGGCCGTGGGTGTGTTGGTCTGAAAGTAATGATGTTGGTGAAGGCCGTGGGTGTGTTGGTCAGAGAGTGACAGTGTTGGTGAAGGCCGTGGGTGTGTTGGTCAGAGAGTGACAGTGTTGGTGAAGGCCGTGGGTGTGTTGATCAGAGAGTGACAGTGTTGGTGAAGGCCGTGGGTGTGTTGGTCAGAGAGTGACAGTGTTGGTGAAGGCCGTGGGTGTGTTGGTCAGAGAGTGACAGTGTTGGTGAAGGCCGTGGGTGTGTTGGTCAGAGAGTGACAGTGTTGGTGAAGGCCGTTGGTGTGTTGGTCAGAGAGTGACAGCGTTGGTGAAGGCCGTTGGTGTGTTGGTCAGAGAGTAACAGTGTTGGTGAAGGCCGTGGGTGTGCTAGAAACAAAAGTCGTGACTCGTCTTTGTGGAAAAGTAAAGCTGCAGAAGGTACAATTACGCCACTATGACGCCACCGTCTTACACCTGTCAGTAATACTTCTTCTGTCTAGTATGATAATTATTTTCAGAGCTGCATGTACCCGCGGGGGTTCCTCCAGCACTACTGCCTAGCCCCCTGCCATACGCTGGGTGGTTTACTCTGTTCCTCTCCGGGGTTGATGCTACACACATAGACTGGGCAGCCCAGGTGTCTCAACAACTACAGCCAGTTAACTGGTAAGATACAGACTCCTACTTTGTATTGATCATTTATTTATTATACACAACTTTTATATTACTGTATGATGATCCTGGCCGTCAAGATGATGAAATACTAAACTGCACGAGGAACATTAATGATGTACAGTCAACAGTACAAGTTTGTTACCAGCCAACCTGTAATAGCAATAATAATAATAATAATAATAATAATAATAATAATAATAATAATGTAATAGCAATAATAATTAATTAATTATTATTAGAAGAAGAAGAAGGCTGGATCATTGTTAGTTTGGTGGACTGTTTCATTTGGGTCAATATTTGATGATTAATACAGTGGCTGTACAGTACAGTAGTCTTTTGTGGACACGATAAAAAAGGTTTGGTTTGGTTCTTCCCAGTTGAGAATCACCAAGTAAAAACGTGTTCCTTTTCTTTACGTTACTTCGACCGTTTTCCATTGAAAAGGAACAAATAAACAAATATTGAAGAAACAGAAATAGATGTTGTGGAAGTGATTATTACCTTTAGAAGTTTAGATGATCTTTGTTCTGGAAGGGCGGAGAAAGTGAAGATGGTATCGTCCCCAGCCCCTCTCAACTGTCCATCATTCTCCGCACCAGCCACTCTCTGACTACTGTGTTAGCTTACGTTATGAGTGGTAAGGTTAGGTTAGGTTAGGTTATGAGTGGTATGGTTAGGTTAGGTTAGGTTAGGTTATGTATGAGTGGTATGGTTAGTTTAGGTTATTTTAGGTTATTATTGGTTAGGTTATTATTGGTTAGGGGCCTCCACCCATATTCTTACACAGGGCCCCCAACCATTATCTTGTACAGGGCCTCCACCCATTATCTTACAGGGCCCTCAACCATCTTGCACAGGGCCTCCAACCATTATCTTACACAGGGCCTCCACCCATTATCTACACAGGGCCCCCAACCATTATCTTGTACAGGGCCTCCACCCATTATCTTACACAGGGCCCTCAACCATTATCTTGTACAGGCCCCCAACCATTATCTTGTACAGGGCCCACCCATTATCTTACACAGGCCCCCAACCATTATCTTGTACAGGGCCTCCACCCATTATATTGTACAGGGCCTCCACCCATTACCTTTACACAGGGCCTCCACCCATTATCTTACACAGGGCCTCCAACCATTATCTTGTACAGGGCCTCCACCCATTATATTGTACAGGCCCCCACCCTTTCACACAGGGCCTCCACCCATTTTCTTACACAGGGCCTCCACCCATTATATTGTACAGGGCCCACCCATTATTCACACAGGGCCTCCACCCATTATCTTACACAGGCCTCCACCCATTATTCTTACACAGGGCCTCCACACCATTATCTTGTACAGGGCCTCCACCATTATCTTACACAGGCCTCCACCCATTTTCTGTACAGGGCTCCACCCATTATCGTGCACAGGTCCCAACCATTATCTTGCAGGCCTCACCCATTATCTTACACAGGGCCTCCACCCATTATCTGCCAGGGCTCCACCCATTATCTTACACAGGGCCCCCAACCATTATCTTGTACAGGCCCAACCATTATCTTGTACAGGCCTCCACCCATTATCTTCTACAGGCCCACCATTATCTTACACAGGGCTTCCAACCATTATTCCACACAGGCCTCCAACCATTATCTTGTACAGGGCCTCCAACCATATTCTTGTACAGGGCCCCAACTGTTATCTTGTACAGGGCCTCCACCCATATTCTCACACAGGCCTCCACCCATATTCTACACAGGGCCCCAACCATTATCTTGTACAGGGCCTCCACCCATTATCTTGCCACAGGGCCTCCACCATTATCTTGCACAGGGCCTCCACCCATTATCTTACACAGGACTCCAACCATTATCTTGTACAGGGCCTCCAACCATTAAATGTACAGGGCCCCTGTTATCTTGTACAGGGCTCCACCCATTATCTTACACAGGGCCTCCACCCATTATCTTACACAGCCCCAACCATTATCTTGTACAGGGCCTCCACCCATTATCTTACACAGGCCTCCAACCACATTCACACAGGGCCCCCAACCATTATCTTGTACAGGGCCTCCACCCATTATATTACGGGCCTCCACACATTATCTTGCAGGCCCTCCACCCATTATCTTACACAGGGCCTCCAACCATTATCTTGTACAGGCCTCCACCCATTATATTGTACAGGCCTCCACCATTATCTTACACAGGGCCTCCACCCATTATCTTACACAGGGCCTCCACCATTAAGTTGTACAGGCCCACCCATTATTCACATGGGCCTCCACCCATTATCTTACACAGGGCCTCCACCCATTATCTTACACAGAGCCTCCACCCATTATATTGTAAGGGCCTCCACCCATTATTCTACACAGGCCTGCCCATATCTTGTACAGGGCCTTCACCCATTATCTTATACAGGTCCTCCAACCATTATCTTGTACAGGCCTCCACCCACATGCCACAGGCCCACCCATTATTTCACACAGGGCCTCCACCCATTATCTTACACACAGGCCCACCCATTATTCTTACAGGGCCTCCACCCATTATCTACACAGGCCCACCCATTATCTACACAGCCCCACCCATTATCTTACACAGGGCTCACCCATTATCTTACACAGGGCCTCCACCCATTATCTACACAGGGCCTCCACCCATTATCTTGTGCAGGGCCCCCAACTGTTATCTTGTACCAGGCCTCCACCCATTATATTGCACAGGGCCTCCACCCATATTCTACACAGGGCCTCCACCCATTATTTTACACAGGCCTCCACCATTTATTTACACAGGCCCACCCATTATATTGTACAGGGCTCCACCCATTATCTACACAGGGCCCACCCATTATCTTGTACAGGGCCCACCCATTATTTACACAGGTCCTCCAACCATTATCTTGCACAGGGCCTCCACCATTATTCACACACAGGCCTCCACCCATTATATTGTCAGGCCTCCACCATTATTCACACAGGGCCTCCACCCATTATCTTCACACAGGGCCTCCACCCATTATCTTACACAGGGCCTCCACCCATTATATTGTACAGGGCCTCCACCCATTATCTTTTACACAGGCCTCCGCCCATATTCTGTACAGGGCCTTCACCCATTATCTTACACACAGGTCCTCCAACCATTATCTTGTACAGGGCCTCCACCCATTATCCTACACAGGGCCTCCACCCATTCCACACAGGGCTCCACCCATTATTCCACACAGGGCTCCACCCATTATCTTACACAGGGCCTCCACCATTATCTTACACAGGGCCTCCACCCATTATTCACACAGGGCCTCCACCCATTATCTTGCCAGGCCTCCACCCATTATCTTACACACAGGGCTCCACCCATTATCTTACACAGGGCCTCACCCATTATCTTGTGCAGGGCCCCCAACTGTTATCTTGTACAGGGCCTCCACCCATTAAATTGTACAGGGCCTCCACCCATATCTTACACAGGGCCTCCACCCATTATCTTTCACACAGGGCCTCCACCCATTATCTACACAGGGCCTCCACCCATTATATTGTACAGGGCCTCCACCCATTATTCACACAGGGCTCCACCATTATCTTGTACAGGGCCTCCACCCATTATCTTACACAGGTCCTCCAACCATATCTTGTACAGGGCCTCCACCCATTATTCACACAGGGCCTCCACCCATTATCTTGTACAGGCCTCCACCCATTATCTTACACAGGGCCCCAACCATTCCTGTACAGGCCTCCACCATTATCTACACAGGGCCCTCAACCATTATCTTGTACAGGGCCCCAACCATTATCTTGTACAGGGCCCACCCATATCTCACAGGCCCAACCATACACGGCACCATTGAGGGCCTCCACCCATTATATTGTACAGGGCCTCCACACATTCACACAGGGCCTCCACCCATTATCTTACACAGGGCCTCCAACCATTATTCCTACAGGGCCTCCACCCATTATATTGACAGGCCTCCACCCATTCAAAGGGCCTCCACCCATATCTTACACAGGGCCTCCACCCATTATATTGTACAGGCCTCCACCCATATTCCACACAGGGCCTCCACCCATTATCTTACACAGGGCCTCCACCCATTATCTTGCACAGGCCTCCACCCATTATATTGCACAGGCCTCCACCCATTATCTTACACAGGGCCCGCCCATTATCTTGTACAGGGCCTTCACCCATTATCTTACACAGGTCCTCCAACCATTATCTTGTACAGGGCCTCCACCTTTATTCACACAGGGCCTCCACCCATTATCTTACACAGCTCCACCCATTATCTTACACAGGGCCTCCACCCATTATCTTACACAGGGCCCACCCATTATCTACACAGGGCCTCCACCCATTCACACAGGGCCTCCACCCATTATCTTACACAGGCCTCCACCCATTATCTTACAGGGCCTCCACCCATTATCTTACACAGGGCCCACCCATTATCTTGTGCAGGGCCCCCAACTGTTATCTTGTACAGGGCCTCCACCCATTAAATTGTACAGGGCCTCCACCCATTATTCCACACAGGGCCTCCACCCATTATTCTACACAGGCCTCCAACCATTATCTTGTACAGGCCTCCACCCATATCTTACACAGGGCCTCCACCCATTATTTACACAGGGCCCCCAAATATCTTGTACAGGGCCCAACCATTCTGGTAGGCCCACCCATTATCTTACACAGGGCCTCCACCCATTATCTTACACAGGGCCTCAACCATTATTCACACAGGGCCTCCAACCATTATCTTGTACAGGGCCTCCAACCATTATCTTGTACAGGGCCCCAACTGTTATCTTGTACAGGCCTCCACCCATTATTCACACAGGGCCTCCACCCATTCCACACAGGCCTCCACCATTATCTTACACAGGGCCTCCACCCATTATTCCACACAGGGCCTCCACCCATTATCTACACAGGGCCTCCACCATTATCTTGTGCAGGGCCCCAACTGTTATCTTGTAAGGCCTCCACCCATTATATGAAAGGGCCCACCCATTATCTTACACAGGGCCTCCACCATTATCTTACACAGGCTCAACCATTATCTTGTACAGGCCTCCACCCATTATCTTACACAGGGCCCACCCATTATCTACACAGGGCCCCCAACCATTATCTTGCACAGGCCTCCAACCATTATCTTGTACAGGGCCTCCACCCATTATTCACACAGGGCCTCCACCCATTATCTTACACAGGGCCTCCAACCATTATCTACACAGGCCTCCAACCATTATCTTGTAGGCCTCCAACCATTATCTTGTACAGGGCCCCCAACTGTTATCTTGTACAGGGCCTCCACCCATTATCTTACACAGGGTCACCATTATCTTACACAGGGCCCCCAACCATTATCTTGTACAGGGCTCCACCCATTATTCACAGGGCCTCCACCATTTTTACACAGGGCCTCCACCCATTATCTTACAGGACCTCCAACCATTATCTTGTACAGGGCCTCCACCCATTATCTTACACAGGGCCTCCACCATCTTACACAGGTTCCAACCATTATCTTACACAGGGCCTCCAACCATTATCTTGTACAGGGCCTCCAACCATTAAATTGTACAGGGCCCCCAACTGTTATCTTGTACAGGCCTCCACCCATTATCTTACACAGGGCCTCCACCCATTATTCTACACAGGGCCCCAACCATTATCTTGTACAGGGCCTCCACCATTATCTACACAGGGCCCCCAACCATTATCTTGCACAGGGCCTCCACCCATTATCTACACAGGGCCTCCACCCATATCTACACAGGGCCCCCAACCATTATCTTACACAGGGCCTCAACCATATTTACACAGGCCTCCAACCATATCTTGTACAGGGCCTCCAACCATTATCTTGTACAGGGCCCCCAACTGTTATCTTGTACAGGGCTCCACCCATTATATTGTACAGGCCTCCACCCATTATCTTACACAGGGCCTCCACCCATTATCTTACACAGGGCCTCCAACCATTATCTTGTACAGGGCCTCCAACCATTATCTTGTACAGGGCCTCCACCCATTATCTTACACAGGGCCCCCAACCATTATCTTGTACAGGGCCCCAAACTGTTATCTTACACAGGGCCCCCAACCATTATCTTGTACAGGGCCCCAAACTGCTATCTTACACAGGGCCCCCCAACCATTATCTTGTACAGGGCCCCAAACTGTTATCTTACACAGGGCCTTATCTTTACTGTTATCTTACAGGGCCCCCAACCATTTTCTTGTACAGGGCCCCAAACTGTTATCTTACACAGGGCCCCTCACAAGGTAGAGTCGGCCCTGTCATCCCGGTAAAAGGTTGGAATACGTATACCACACTACCAGAAGTTACCGGGAATCGTGTGGTAACAGTGAGAGGGAAACACCTCCCAGTGTTGTCAGATTTTAAAATATAAATAATTATCGAGCTGGATCCACAAAATTATTGTTTCTTTATCAAAATTATCGTACACTTGCAAACATTATTAGTACACACACTGTGTGTATACAATATACAGGTTCATCATCATTTTAATATGATGAAATAATGACTACTAAAAGTGTTCAAGTGTTGTCCTCCCCGCCCCCAGGGACTATGACTCGCTGGTGTTCCCCCGTTGTCTGCTGAGTGACCAAGAACTGGGTGTGTTGGCCAGCCAGCTGAGACGTAATCACGTGCGGCCGACAAAACTTGTTGTGCCGGGAGACAAGGACGAGACCTTCACTCTGTCCGGATACACAGTCCTGAGGTACGTATTGTGTACAGTCGTCCAACGAGGTGATGTCACAGTTTTCAGTAAGATTAGTTCAAACAGCGGTATCTTGCAGGAGACCAGCGAGTGACTGACTGGTCGTCGTTGTAGTAAGATGGTGTATTAACTCCTGAGCCAAATTTCTCGCTACTTAACTTACTGACATTCTCTCATTATATACGCAGGTAAAAGTCTTCAAGAGGGGTAACAAAAGTAAAAGAACTATATCCCAGTCCCATGCTTAAAAGACACAGAAAATGTGTGCCTTAAAATAGGACAGGATAATATGATACACCAGCCGGCGGTAACAACTGTTATATAGTGCGTCCTTCACAGCTGAGATGTTTTATAAATGAGTTTATTCATAATGACCGTTTTTGACGAGAAAGATATTGAGCTAAATTATATAAAGATACATACAAAATAATTTCAAACATGAACACGAAGGAAGTTTATCAGAAATATTATACAAGAATTAACTGTTAAACTCTGGTAGCAAATTGACGTTTTCGTAGGACGTATTTAATATATACTTTTTTACCCACAATAAGACATACTAAGACAAATTGCATATCAGTAATACTAAATCACGCAAAAAACATAATTTAAAAAATCAGAATAACATTGAAATATTACACGACCGTCAGCAGATGTGGGAAATATATGAAGTTGTTCTCAGTAATTATTTCACATAATTATGTTCCAGCTGTAAAAACTAAAAGAGATAATAAAGGCAGTTGACACTTTATGACTGAACGTTTCTGTAAATGGTGACACCAATCATTTAGACCATTTCCGGCACTTTGGTTTTACAGCAGATGTTGCTGGTTGTTACCTTCGGCATTATCCTCCAGGGTGCATCATTCCATGTTTTACAGCAGATGTTGCTGGTTGTTACCTTCGGCATTATCCTCCAGGGTGCATCATTCCATGTTTTACAGCAGATGTTGCTGGTTGTTACCTTCGGCATTATCCTCCAGGGTGCATCATTCCATGTTTTACAGCAGATGTTGCTGGTTGTTACCTTCGGCATTATCCTCCAGGGTGCATCATTCCATGTTTTACAGCAGATGTTGCTGGTTGTTACCTTCGGCATTATCCTCCAGGGTGCATCATTCCATGTTTTCATAACCTCAGTTTCTTCTCTGGTCCACTTTCTCTTCAAGTACTTATACAAACATATTGTCTAAATCTTCACTCTGCAAAAACTAATGAGCTAAAGTCAGTTATTGTATTTGGCCCAAATAAAGATGTGTTATATAGGCATTGATCAAGGTTCTCACGACCCACGTTACACAATGATTCCCTGCTCAGTAAAGAACAATACTTGTATCTATAACTCTCTTATATTTGTTTGTCTTACCATTCACCCCGTCATTCATCCCACCATCTTCTAGGGTGAACCAGTCACCTGTTTGAGAAGCGCTGACTTTTAGACGACTGACTGTATATGATTCTCTTACCTATAGCCTTTATTTGTTTTGTAATATTATTGATCTATTTGTTATATATATACTAGCAGAAATGCCGTCCTCCGGGCTGTTCTTTCGCTAGGCCATGGTAGGACGCCACCCTCCTGGAGGCTCCACATTGTTTAGGTTTAGGAGGGAGATAGGAAGAAACTGGTTCACAAATAGGGTGGTGGACGAGTGGAACAAGCTTAGCAACTTTGTAGTAAGTGCGGGAACTCTGGAAAGTTTCAAAAGGAGGCTAGATAGATTCATGGATGATAGAGAGTGGTAGTAACTCTCGACAGGAGCTGCCATGCACAGGCCAACCGGCCTATTGCAGACTCCTTATTTTGTTATGTTCTTATGTTCTTATTAAGGTTGACCACATTTTTGGTTTTGCCATTAGCAGCAAGTATGTACAGAATTTTGCCAGTTCCTACTCTGGAGCATCCAACATAGAACTGTCCATGAGAGAAGCAAGGAAACACCAGGTTTAGGCCAACCATCTTTAGGGAATGTCCCTGGCATTTGTAGATGGTCATGGCAAAGCTCACTTTAACCGGGAACTGAAGTCGCTTGAACTCAAATGGCAGGTCAGTGGTGATGAGAGGTATCCTTGGTATAAAAACGTCCTCTCCTTTAGCTTTTCCTGTCAGTATTGTAGCTTCCAGTACATGTGGCATCATGTTCTTCACCACCAGTCTTGTGCCATTGCAGAGCCTTGGTGATTCAAGATTTCTTAAGAGCATTATAGGAGTTCCAATCTTGAGAGTGAGGTGGTGAGGAGGCATTCCAGCGGGCTCCAAAGAATTAAGGAATTCTGCAGGGTACTGGACTGCTTGGTCCTGGTCGATTACTGTATCAACAGATTTGAATGAGTCTCACTGCCTGGAAGCTGTCTGAGTAGAGTCATGTTGATTTCAGCCATTGTTTCATTTTTTGGTGCCAGAATTGCACGTTCACGCAGCCGCTTGTGATCCTTGTAGTGGTGGATAATGTTTGGGTAGACCTTGTTAGTGAGCTCAGTTGAGGACTTTACAACATTTCCACATCCTTGAGGAATAATTATTTGTCCTTCTGAATCAACAAGGAAAGTTCCATTCCCAATCTGTAGTAGAAGGTTTGCAAACCGTCCAGCATCCTGATCTCCTTGTAGATGTACTCTCATGTTTGTGGATGGGGTGAGTGTCTGAACACTTCTCCAAAGGTATGGTGCCTTGAGGCACGCATTCAGTTCGTCAGCTGGAGTGCTTTGAGGAATGACAGGTAGGGTCTGGCGAAAGTCTCCATCAATGACCATTGTAATGCCACCCATGAGCTGGTCATTTTCTCGTATGTCTTGCAAGGTCCTGTCCAATGCTTCAAACGCTAACTTGTGAGACATAGTGCAATCATCCCAGACTATGAGGCTGCATTTTTCAAAGAGTTTTGCCTTTGCCGATCCTTTTTTGATGTCGCACACTGGATTCTCATTGTGAGCGAGGTTGAGAGGCATTTTAAAAGTTGGGTGTGCAGTACGTCCTCCTTCTACTAGTGTTGCGGGAATGCATGAGGATGGCACGGTAAGAGCAATTTTCCCCTGATGACGTAGTTTAGCCAACAGAAGGTTCATCAGGAATGTTTTCCCTGTCCCGCCAGGTGCATCGAGAAAGATCATACCTCCCTGCTCCGCTTGTATCGCTTGCAAGATCTGTTCATAAGCATTTGCTTGATCAGGCACCAGGTGAGGCTCTTTCTCTTCAACAAAATTCACCAGAACTTCTACTGAGTAGTCTGTCTCTCTGAGCAACTCCCTGGTTCTTCTCTGTTTGGGGAAGGCAATCCAAAATCAGTCAAATTTTTTTCCGCATAGCTCCATCACTTTGTCTTTCACCATGATCAGAGCCCTGTTGAACATGTCATCGATGAACTCAATCTCTTGCCCAGGATGTTTTCTTCTTGCTTGATGAAGCAGATCCTCTGAAAGACTTTCTTGGTGGTTTTCCAGAGCTGGCTTGGGTTGGAAAGTCCACATGTAGCAATCATGATGGCGAACAGGTTCCTCATTCTCATTGGCGATTGAGTAGCTGCTGCCTCTTCTAATGTGTCATTCCAGTGACCATCATCTTCCAGTAGGCCAAGGTGATTGTACGCTTCCTGATAGGTTCTGCAGACTTGTCCATTCACTGTCTTGAGTGCTGCATATGATGTTGGGCCACGGATGTGGTGCAAAATTAGTCTCAAACAATAGCACTCAAAGTTGTTGGGGTGAACCTTGTAGACTCGTCCCAAAGCATTGCCTGACTTTATCCCTGGATATCCTTCCACATCGGATCCTTGAGCTCTTCTCTGGAACTTTTTCATTGAAGCCTGTCATATGTAGAACTTGGGTACATCAACATACAGGAGGATTTGAGCAAACTCATCTTCCTGTGAAAGCTTGGAGAATGCAGTGAGGGTCGTATCAGCAGGATTTGCCATTTGATTTTGGAGGGACTCTTCTGTGAAGTATACTCTTTGTCCATGTTCCAGGTGAGCAGCCAGATGAACTCCTGTTGGACATCGTTCGTGTATGGGAAAACTAAAAATTCTCCATTGGGCTTCATTGCTGCATATATAACGGCCCTGCAGAAACTGTCACCTCATCATGATTTCCATCCTTTTCCACTGCAAAGATCGCTTGGTCAGAGCCTTTGTTGACGTATTTGCAGACATACTTGATGGACTTGACTGAATTGCAGAACTCCACATTAATGTGCGCATCGAATGCTTTACTCGAAAGAGGATTGTAGGGGATCACCCATTTGTTGTCTACTGTTATATCACTGTCTGTTCCAGGTCGCAACACTGCTGTAAAACCTCCAGCGCCTGGCGCTCTTCTCCTGTACTGAGGACAGCCATCTTCTCCACTCTGAGTATCCTTTATCAGGTCTTTTGGGAAGATTTTGGTGCAACGTCCATCTTTCATGCAGGGAGAGTGTCTGTTGAATGGTCCACATGGCCCATGAATCATTTGCTTCTTGATGATCTCATAGAGAACTGGATCTTCTTCTGGATCAGGAACTCTGCTCGTATGCAGTTGTCAATCATGTTCGGTCGAAGTTTCTCTTTCAGCCAGATCAAGACATGGGCATGTGGTAGACCTCGTTTCTGCCACTCAGTGGAGTACATGTAGCACCGTGTAGGGCCAAAGATTGATGCTTTTGTAAGCAAGTCCATGAGTTTGATCACTTTCTGACGAAATACTCTCGCTGTAATGTCATGCCGATCTTGTCCTTTCTGGCCTTCCATTAGAGCTTCTGTTATGTCAGTCCATACAGGGTTGCATGTAAAAGTAATGAAGAGATCTGGTCGTCCATAGTTTCTGACGTAGGTCATGGCATCCTGAGTCTTTTCATGCATGTATCGCGGACCTCCAGTGAAGGAAGAGGGGAGAATCACCAGCTGTCCAAAATTGCCCACATGTCCATCCCTTGCTACTGCATCTCTCAGATGAATGTAGTCATCAATCCTGAGCTTCTTTTGGTTGAGTCGTATGAAGGTGAATCCTTCTGTTTCAATTTTGGC